ATAGTGCTATTCCATTTGAATTATAGTTTTCTAACATTTTCCTCCCTTTAGCGCAACGAGCAGCTTTAAAAAAATAGATTGAAGATGATTTAGAAAAGGATTTTTGATAATACAAGTAATTCAAGTCAAAATACGTCAGCTTTTTGATAGCGCGGCAGTAATTTGAAAGCACTTTTGTCTAGAAACATCTCAGCTCAATCTCGTATAACTTGCTTTCAATAGCAACTCTTTTGAAAATTTAACTTTAACTCAGCTGTGGACATAAATCATACAAAAAAAACTTTATTTCCAGAAATCGGACATCCGTGGGTGGTGACGTCTTTGACCAGCATAGTCCCAACTTCACATCTGAAGTGCTATCTAAAATGAGAATCACTAAACATTTCAATAACATATTGCTTAACAAAGTTGAATTATCCAAAATAAGACAAAAATTTTGAAATTAATGGAATAATTAACTAAGCAACATATTTCACTCAAATCAAAATCCTGGATCGATCACTTTGATCTCCAGGCGGGAAGAACCTACCCGATTGGGGGGTATCCAGTGGTGTAGCACGACGCGCGCTAATTCCTACTCACCTCGATGCCGACATTGGCTTTTATATTCTTACTAGTACTATATTTGGTACAGGTTAGTTTATATATAATATTAATGTCATAGACTGGTGACTGGTGAGTGAATGTAGATTGTCGGTCTCTTACATCTATTAGGTCCAAAATCAAAAATACTTTAAGCTGTTGCTGCCAAAATCTCATGTTGAGACCGTAATAGGGTCAATTTTGGAGAAATTGAAGTTCTAATTGTACATAATTTGCTGAATGACTGCGAACTTGTCAATTTTTAAGCTTAAATAAGCCTTTTTTGCTAATATAAATTAAGGTAAGAAGGCACGCAAATTTCGCAAACGTCTAAGAGCATAATATTCTATAAATTTGTAAAATGATGTTTTATTATTAGTGAAAATGTGTCAGACTTGAAAGTTTGACAGTCAGTAAAATTCTGCTGTCATGTGTTTAAGCCAATATAAATTCCTCAGAAAGATAACTCGTGCGAGGCCTCAAAATTTTTGGATTCATTCTTTTCAATTCACATTTCACAAAATCAGATCTCAATGCTCAAAAAGCGCTCAAATATATTAAGGCATCTCCCGCACCTCTAACACCCTGCAACAATTCTACTCAGTTTGACTGTGAAACAATTGCTGATCCACATCGATGTATTCCCCTTGAATGGTTATGTGATGGATTAAAGGATTGCACAAATGGATTGGTAAGAGGATGAAATTTGGGAAAATTCTCTAGTGTCGTTATTTCAGGATGAGTCGCATTGCTCTTATCTGCATTCGTGTCCAACGGGTGATTTCATCTGTCGTTCGGGCGATTGCATATCGGGAAGGTATAAATGCGACGGTGAGGTGGATTGTCCAGGAGGTGAGGATGAGAAGGGATGCGAGTATGGAAGTCTTACG